AGGATTTTATATTACAATAGATCTTTTTAGGAATTTAAATAGAAATTTAATTTATAATAGAGTTTTTATAGAAGTTTCAATTATAATAGACCTTTTTTTAGTAATTTAAATAGAAATTTAATTTATAACTGATTTTAATAGGATTTTAAATTATAACAGATTTTCGGAGGACCTTAAATTATAATAGATTTTTGTACGAATTTAATAAAAAATTTAATTTATAACAGATTTTTATGGAACTTTAAATTATAACAGATCTTCATAGAATTTTCAATTATAACAGATTTTTATAAGAGTCTAAATTACAACAGATTTTCATAAGATTTTAATTTATAACAGATTTTCACAGGGCCTTAACTTATACAGCAGATTTTTTCAGAAAATACAAATACAAATGTAAATTGTAACACATTTGCATAGAACTTGAAATTCCGACAGATTCTCCATATTATCGCGTAGCATTCGAAGATATTGCGAAATTATCTGGCAGGTTGTTAATTGCCCGACCACACGAATCGCGTTCGCGTACGGCGCTGCGTTCGCGTACGGCGATTTTATTAATTTATGCCGCGCGTTGCCGGGCGCCAGAAGGTGCGTTACGGTTTATCTGTACGAGGGCAAGCACTCACTATATCGGAGTCGTCATACGAATGAAATATAAATATTGCGCCCGTAATATGGCGGAGAACTGAATCGATGTTTGCGTAATCGCGGGCCGGGACACTCGACTTCATCTTTCCGATATGCAGGCGACAGGGAGCTGCCGCAACCGACGAAAATAGTTGTTGTCGAGGCGCGCCTCGCGAAAACGATAATTTCGCATTAACGTCGGTGAGCGATCAGCAAACCGTCTGTGTGACCTCAAAAGCTCTGGCCAAAATGATTTTATTCCTTTCCGTGGGAACGAGACGGATACCGTTATTTACTATAATTTTGACAAAAATGCACGGCATAAAATTATTTATGGTTCGTTCGAATAATAATATTTGTATATTATATTTATATATAGTAATAATATTTATATATTATATTTACATATAATAATAATAATAATATGTATATACTATATTTACATATAATAATAATAATAATATTTATATGTTATTATATATATTTATATATATTATTACATATATTTATATATATCATTATATTTATATATTAACATAATACAATAATAAAATATAATAATATCCTCAAATTTTTTTGAATTATTCCTTCAATTTGCATCGACCACCAAGTTCGTAATAATTTTCAATAATAGTTATCAATAACAGTTGAATTTTTAATATTAGTATAATTTAATTTATAATTATTAATGTATAATTTAATTTAATATTCTCTTTAATACTCTCCAATTTTGTTCACCTAAATGTTTCCACTTGTCAAATGTCAAAAGGCGGCAATCCGGCCGAAAAAAAAGATTAAACGCGTCAAACAAATGCCATTTATTTTACGGAAAGCTCTGTCGAAGAAGCTCGAGAAAGACACCCAGTTAACTTTTCGTCACGGTTGCTGTTGTACGAGAGCACAGAAGGCTGGCGAAGCGACGCGTCGTCGTACTATACGCAGGGAAAGGTGACTATCCTCCTGAAACGCATGTTCTGTGAATAATCGTTTGATCCGTCTACCGAAGATATTCATTTTCCAATAATTTCAACCAGACACCGTGTAATTCACGGCGGCCGGAGAGCGGCTTTTATTTTCAGGAGCGTAATTATAGTACTAGCTTGCCAGCGACTCTCGGTAACTCGAAATTATTTGCAATTGAAAGTCGATACGTTGATGTCGGCGGTGTTATTTACGCCTCGCTGCCGTGACTCCCGGATAAAGGATTACGATTTCGTGGGAACACGAGCTGCGTTAATTGCGAGCCGCGCGATGCAGAGACGCAAAAAATGCTAATGCGAGAAACTAATGTTTCGGCGCGCTCAAATCTTTAATGTACGATTTTTTAAGACCGAGTCCAGTTATTTTCGCGATAAATGCACAGACCTGCGGATTAAACGATAAGAAACACTCCAGTTTATTCGGCAAAATGGGAATTCTCAAGTAATAATAATAATGTATTTTTGTCGAAAGTGCCAAGATTTACAACATTCGCCAACAGTTCGTGAACAAAATCGATGAGAGAATTACGACGACTTAAAGCCCACCTAATTTTCTGTAAATTATATTTAATTATCTGATTTACATAGATACACATGTCATACGTGATATTTATTTAAAATATAATTTACAGAAATGCACAAATATTTCCTGCAAAATTTATATAAAATGTAATTTACATAAATGCATATGTCGTATGCAAGATTCATATAAAATATAATTAAAACGAGTACATATATTCGTAATTACTATAATTATACTATATTATACTCGTAATTACTATAATTATACTATATTATACTCGTAATTACTATACATATAATTTAAACAAATACATATATTATCACACGTAAAACTGCTATAAAAAGAAATTGCTATAATTTACGCGAACACATGCATCGCGTGCAAATGGCATAGAAATATAATTCCCAAAAACCACAGAAGAATGATCGAAGCTTATCTTCTGTGTTCGGGTCCCAGCGGACCCAGGGTTCGCGCGGCGGGGGTTAATCACCGACCGACGAAAGATCGGCATAGTCCAATGCACTTTGCACTCGATAAAGTAGACGCGGCAGGGTTCTTAGATAGCCGGTTGGCTTCCGATCAGCGGCTGAGCTAACGATAATTCTGTTTTCGCAGGGCTTCCAGCGTCCGCGGACCCGATTCGCCCCTGAGCTCGGATCTGGCGCTTGATAAGCCTCGCCCCATACCATCACCCAGGTAAGTCCATTCGGCCGTGTAACCCTTTCTCACCTTTACAGCCCAATGGGAAAGAACCTCGACCTCGATTTCCCGCGTAATAAACTCGGGTTAATTGGAAAACTTGCGCGGCTAGGCATCGAAGGACTTCCTCCTCTCCTCGCGGCGCGGGCTTTTCATCCTCTGAAGGGCTTCGACCTATATATCTCGGGGAGATGCCGGGCTCTCGATAATACGTGCTAATTGAAATCATCGGAGAAAGAGGCCCCCGATACCCGGGGATTTCGTGCTTCGAAACCGCCCCGATCCGATCGAAATTGACGCCCTTCGTCCGTTGCCGTTCTCGAACCTAATCGAACCACTTAGACGTAGCAATATTTATTCGGACATGCTTCTTAAACAGTATAATTTCTTTCGAAACTGCACTGAATTATTTGGATCCTCTTTTTAATGTTGAGAGATTAGTTTATTGTGCAATGACTGAGATATTGCAATTTATAGCTCTGCAATATATTCATATATAATATTAATTTATATTTTATATATTATAATATTGTTATATAATATAGAGTATGTAAATATATACCCTGCTGAGTTATGTCAAGGTATTTTCTTTCGAAACTGCACTGAATTATTTGGATCCTTTTTTTAATGTTGAGAGATTAGTTTACTGTGCAATGACTGAGATACTACAATTTATATAGCTGCAATATATTAATATATAATATTAATTTATATTTTATATATTATAATATTGTTATATAATATAGAATATGTAAATATATATCCTGCAGAGTTATGTCAAGGTATTTTCTTTCAAAATTGCACCGAATGATTCGAATTCTTTTTTAATGTTAAAAAGACTAGATTGCTGTGCAGTGACTGAAATACTGCAGTTTATGGCTGCTATATATTAATACATAATATTAATATATTTTATATTTAATACTTAATATTTATATATTATAATATTATTATATAATATAGAGTATATAAATATGTACTCTGCAGAGTTATGTGAAGGTATTTTCTTCCAAAACTGCATTAATGATTTGGATCTTTTTTTAATGTTAAAACGACTAGTTTGTTATATTAATATATAAAATTAATTTATACAATATATATTATAATATTATTATGCAATATAAAATATATAAATATATTCTCTGCAGTTCAATTATTACAAGACTGCGGATCTTTATGAAAATACAAAAATTGCATCGATTGCGCTTCAAATTATTTATTACACGTTCGAACTAACGCAACAACGTTCTTGCTTTCCTTCCACTTCCGCGCCGTTTTAATTGCTATCGACTCATTTTCACCGTAAACACGTGAAATCCGCGGTTCAATCGTCCCGCGTCCAGTAACTCGGCCTATTAACCTCGAGCACCAATTAATCGCCGGAAGAACGGTTCACTTTCGCGAGCGAAAACTCGACTAAATACCATCTACTTCTACCATCGCCGCCATTGTGGCGTTCCGAAAGCGTCGGAAAAATCGGTGCCCGCGTAAAAATGAAATTCCAGGAGCGGCCGTAGGGGGGACAGAAAGCTAATCTGTACTTTTTCACGCTCATTTGCATACCTTAATTAGGGGGGTTGGTCGGCGCTCGAATCGCGGGCACGCTTTGCGTTTCCGGCTCGCGATTTTCGTGTCCTCGGCGGTCGTTTCTCTTTCCGGCGTGGCGCTCGCGTCGGCCAAAGTGAATCCGCGCGAGCACGGGCGAAAAATAAAGGAGAGAAACCGTACGGCCACTCGATAGCAAGTGGTTTTTATCCGGCATAGGGGCGCGAGGATGAATCCGGCCGCGGCCGCGCGGAGTCTGAGGCGCGCGCGGCGAGGGGTTGGGGGGATGTTCCGGGGTCGGTTCTGTTCGGTTCGTCGCCGGCTAAGGGGCTCGAAATACCACGTGTCGGCGAGGAAATAAAATAGGGGTTCTCTCGGTGTGCACGGAGAACGGTTATTGTGTTGCCACAGGCTTATCGAACGTCAAGACTCCGTCGAGGGGTGAATCTCGTCGGGGTTGAAGGTACGAGGCCCGGTAAAAATAGAAGTTTTCCTGGACGAGCACGGGAAGCACGGTTTATTAGTGGCTTCGACGGGCACATACGGGCGGGAGAATTGTTTCAGAATAGAATGATTCGCGACACGGGAAAAGGTAACAACGGAATCGCTGAAACACGGATTTCCCGTGACGACGGGGCTTCAGTCTCTCACGGTACGTTTCATTCGGGGATTACCGGCTTACGAAACTATTTCTGTACTTATGAGGTAGTACAGCTGTAGCAGAAATAATACTATGCGTCTGTCCACACTCTGTTTGCCACGACGCAAGGGTTTATTCGAGATTAATTACTTTATACTGTATGTATCGTTGAATTACTTAGCTATGTTATTGAATTGTTTGATAGCAATTCGAATAACTCAACGATACAGTAGTCAAGAGAAATAGTAATTCAAATAGCAATTCAAATAGGTAATTCAAATAGTTCAATAATACAATAGTAGTTCAAAG